CATAGAGTGAGTTCAGTAGTGAACTTTCTCTTTCAATTTCATTGAAGTGTTGGAGGAGTATTGGTGTGAGCTCTGTTTTGAATGCCTTGTAGAATTCTGCTGTAAAACCCTCTGGTCCTGGGCTTTTCTTAGATGGACAGGCCTTTTATTGCTGTTTCTATTTCAATGCTTGACATGGGCCTGTTAAGATGGTTTAACTCATCTTGGTTTAGTTTTGGCATGTCAATATTTGCTAGGAAAAGGTCCATTTCTGCCAAGTTCTCAAACTTATTAGCATAAAGTTTTGAGAAGTAGTCCCTTATAATGTTCTGAATCTTGGTTGTTTCTGTGGTGATGTTTCCATTCTCATCTATGAGTTTATTTATTTGGGTGTGTTCTCTTCTTTTTCTGATAAGATTTTCTAAGTGTCTGTCAATTTTGTTAATTTTTTTCAAAGAACCAACTCTTTGTTTTGTTGATTCTTTCTATGGTTTTTTTGGATTCTAATTCATTGAATTTAGATTTAATTGTAATTATTTCTTTTTTTTCTCATTAACAAAGTAGTCAATCCCTTTATTTTTAAATTTTTTTATGTACACATAGGAACGATCTGTATAATGTACATTCAATATAGAAAGCTTTATATAGTTGATAATGTATAGAACATTTCACAATTACACTAATCTCTTACATTAACATCTTGACATCCATTTTTACTTAAAAAAATTTTTTTTTCCATCTACTGGATTGGGGTTTATCTTGCTGCTCTTCTTCAAGGAGGCTCAGATGTCTCATTAATTTGTTGGTTTCAGATTTCTTCAATTTGTTGATGTAGGAACTCATAGCTATAAACTTGCCTTGAGTACTGCCTTTGCTGTGTTCCAGAGGAGCTGGTAGTTTGTGTGTTCATTTTGTTGAATATCATGAACATTTGAATTTCCTTTCTAATCTCTTCCATTACCCACTGGTGATTAAATAGTGTGTTGTTCAGCCTCCATGTGGTACAGGACTTTCTTTGGTGGCTTTTGGTGTTGAGTTCTAATTTTATTCCCTTGTGGTCTGAGAGAATGCAAAGTGTAACTTCAATGTTTCTGAATTTGGACAAGTTTTCTTTGTGGCCTAAAATGTGGTCTATTTTGGAAAATGTTCCACATGCTGCTGAGAAGAGTGTGTATTCTGATGTTTCTGGGTGAAATAATTGGTAGATGTCTGTTAAATATAGTTGATCTATGCAGTTGTTTAGGTCTGCGGTTTCTCTGTTGAGTTTTTGCCGAGTTGATCTACCTAGTGGGGAAAGTGGTGTGTTAAAGTCCCCAACGATTAATGTCTTTGGATCTATGTGGGATTTGAGGGAAAGTAGTGTTTCTTGGATAAATTTGGGTGCTCTGTTGTTTGGAAAATAGATATTTAGAATTTTAATATCCTCCTGAAGGAGAGATCCCTTAATTAGTAGGTAGCTACTTTCTTTATCTCTTCTCATTAATTTTAATTTGAAGTCTATTTTATTTGATGATGGAATGCAACTCCTGCCTGTTTATGGGTGCTGTTTGCTTGGTAGATTTTGTTCCACCCTTTCACATAGAAAATATGTTTGTTTTTATGGGCAAGATGTGGCTCCTGAAGGCAGCAGATAGAAGCATCTTGGTTTTTAATCCAACTAGACAGTCTATGTCACTTAATTGGAGAGTTAAGTCCATTAATGTTGAGAGATAGGACTGAGAGGTATTTGGGAGTTCTTGCCATTTTATCCACCTTCTTGGGGGCTGCAGCAACTGGGTTCTTCCTATGGTTCTTGGATTCTCAGTTTGGGGGCAGTTTCTTGCCCTTATTGTGGTCTTGTTGGTTTTCTATGTGTAAGACATCTTTAAGAATCTTTTGTAGGGCTGGTTTGGTGTTTCAATTTTTCTTTGGTATGGAAGGTTTTTATTTGACCTTCGGTTATGAAGGAGAGTTTAGCTGGGTACAGTATTCTTGGAGGATAGTTGTTTGTCTTTACGGCATGACATACATCATTCCAGGCTATTCTTGCTTTGATTGTCTCTGCTGAGAAATCTGAGGTGATTCTAATTCGTTTCCCTTTATAGCTGATTGATCTTTTCTCCTTGACAGCTTTAAGGATCCTTTCCTTGGTCTGAATTGATCCTGTGAGGATTATAATGTGAGGGTGTGATGTAGTGTTCTGGTCTGGCCTATTTTGAGTTCTAAAAGCTTCTTGTATCTGAATAGGCCTATCTTTTTGCAAGTTTGGGAAATTATCTGCTAAGACCTTGTTAATCGGATTTCCTAGACCATTAACTTCTGTGTCTAGGTGCTCCTCTGCACCCATTGTCCTCAGAGTAGGTCTTCTGATGGTGTCTTCCAAGTGTTGAATAGATCTGTCATAGTTCTTGGATTTGTCTTGGATGGTTGTATGTTTTTTCTCTATAATATCTAAGCTGTTTTAATCCCCGAGATTCGATCTTCTGCATGGTCTAATCTACTATCAAGATTTTCTACTTTGTTTTTTATTTCTTTTCCTTCTAGTTGGTGAGCTTTGATTGCTTCAAATTCTTTGTTGGAGCTTTGTTTTATATCTTGTATGAGCTTCCTTACTTCCTTAATTTGGTGTTCAGTGTTTATTCTCAAATCACTTAGTTGATTGGTTATGGTCCTTTGGACTCCCATTCTTTCTGTTGGGTTCCATTCAGCATTCCCTTTGTTGTCTCCCTGACTTCTTTCAGCTCTCTGTTTATGGACTCCATGAATGCCTTTAGTGAGCTTTGTGTATTCTCATCCTGCTCTCTCAATTCCTATATTACTCTTTGAATAGCCTCCTCACATTCACTCAATTTCTGTAGTTCTCTTTGAGTGTTCTCAGCCTGCTCAAGCCATTCCCGACTTTCTCTTTGTTCTCAGCCAGCTCCCTCAATTCCTGTCTATGTCTTTGACTGATCTCAGTCTGCTCAAGCCATTCCTTTATTTCTCTTTGAGTGTTCTCAAGGTGCTCATGAAATTCCTGTATCAATCTTTGAGTAGCTTCCTTATGCTCATGATATTCCTGTATTGACCTTTGTTTGCCTCCTCTCTCTCCCTATCATGCTCATACAGATTCCTTCGCAGGTTTTCAATCTTTTTATTTACCATGTTTACCAGTAGTGATTGTAGAGGTTTCTGGGAACTCTCCTCTGGATTATTCATTACCTGTTCTCTCCCCTGATTATCATGAGTGGGAGTTGAGATACCAGGACTTGCTATTTTTCTTGTGTTTTTTCTGGCTTTCCCTGCCCATTTGGGATTAAAGTTAAACCAGTTTTGTGATAGAACACTATATTAAGGCAAGCATCATCCAAAGTCTGTAGTTGTACAGTCAAAAGTCTGCAGATACAATCTAGTTCAACAGATATAGCTATTCAACATCAAACAACTATGTATTAATGGACTATGAACTGCAAAGAAGAATTTGGCAAACCAAAATTATTAGGTTTAGGGAGAGATGTGGGTAAAAATAGGAATAAGGGATATGGAAAGGCAATGGGAGAGTTAACTTAACTAAGTCCTAATCTCAAAACAAGAAATAGGTTGGATAGAATGATAGTAGAGAGAGAGAAAAGAAGATGAAAGAGAAAGAGAGAAAAAAAGAGACAAGAAAAAATAGAAAAACAAAAATTAAAAATTAAAAAGTGGATAGGATAAGAGAAGGGTAGGGCTAGAAAAAAGATGTGAAAAACTTAAAAATAAAAATGCTAAAAATATTATATAGGTATAAAGAGGTAGTACTGCTATTAAGGAATTTAAATCTAAGAAGTTTTGAATTGAGTAAAAAATTTCTGGATTAAGTGTGTACACAATGGGGGATAAGGTCTAATAATCGACTATCGGAATATCTGAGGATTAGCAGAACAGCAATTAAGTCATGCAAAGAAGAAGGAAAGAGAAGAAAAGGTGAAAAGAATGAGAAGGAAAGAAAAAAAGGATCAAAAGGTCAGTAGAGCTAAACAAAAAAATTTGAAAAAAGAAAAAAAGAGATAAAGAAAAGAAAAACACACACACACACACATATACCCCTAAAATAAAAATTATAAAAGGAAGAAAAAAACGTTAATAGGAAACAATTTTTTTAAGTTAAAAATTAAAAAAAGTTTTAGAAAAAAATTTTTGTATAAAAGTACAAAAAAAGAGTTCTTTGATTTTTTCGGGGCAGGGGGTGGGAGATTGGGAAGATCCTGTATCTCCTTTGTGTCCATAGCCAGTCTCTAATTGGAGTCTCTGGTCTGCTTGTGGTGTTTGATTTTCCTGTGGCTTGGCTGGTTTCTTAAGTCAGTTTGTTTCAGCAGGCAGAAAAATGGTCTCTTTTACCCAGGATTTTGTGATCCTCCTCCCAGGCTAGTTCAATGGGAGGGAGATCTGCTTTGAGTATCACAAAAGAGGGAGATGGCTGTTTCCTCTAGTTTGGAGATGCTGTGATGAGGGTAGGTTCTGGGTAGAGTTGAGGCCTTTCAGCAAACAGTGGCCTTTCCCTGAGGGGCTAGATTCTGAGACACTTACAGAGCCCAGCCTGGAGCCATTCTCAGGGTTTATGTTTACTGAATTTCAATTGATTGTCAAAGCTGCTGTAGGGAGGGGCAGCCTCCACCCAGGGAAAAGTCACCCAGCCCCCACAGCCAGCCCCAGGAGTGGCTTTCTTCACTGGGTAAACAGAGCCTGGCAGGCCAGGTTAGGTTTCTGTGACCTGCTTAATGACTCTTTTGTTTTCTTCCAAGGCCTTAGTTGGAGCTAGCTGCTCAGCCAGGCCTTTGTCAGTATCAAAGATGGAGATCTCCAGTAGTGGGGAGGCATGGCATTCCCTCCTCTGCTCCCTGAGAAGGAGTGAGGATGTCAGGCTTCTACTCAAGCTGGAGTCTTGGTTCCTGGGTCATCTCGGTCTGAAAACTGAAGGATGAAGATGTCTGCTCCTTGTCAGTTCTTGCTGGTGTTGAGTAGAATCTGCTGGCCCATTGCATCTGGTGCCTTTGTCCCAGATTCCCTGTTTTGCAGGTGAAAGATTAAAAATTAGAGTTACATTTTACAATTGCTAACTGCTGGTTTTGCTTCTGTAAACTTGCTTGCGCTAGCACTGACCCTTCCCCTCCCTGGAAATAAGTTTCAGAGCCTAGATGTCGGCCCTGGGACTAGCTCTGTAGTCATAAATAAAGAACTAACAAGTAAATTCCCCAGGTGGCCAAATGGGACCCAAGATAAGGAACAAAGAGTATGCTCCTCTGCATTCCTGTGTAAAAATTCTCGGTTTAGAGGGCTCAAGATAAGGACCATCTGGTGAGCCCAACAAATTAGGCCAAATGTTAATTAATCATAAGTCTGTAACTCCGTAAACTCCCTAACCCTTATCTCCCAGAGTGACTATCTCCGTTTGATCATCCGCGCCAATTGTTTTATTACAAAGAGTGTTATAAACTTCCCCGTGTAGTAAACTGAGCCAATCCTGGGAAACCTGGGGTCTCATGCTAATCCTGTGGCTTTTGTCTTTAAAAGTGCCTGTAACCGCTGCTCCGGGCTTCCTGTCTGCCCTGGACAGAGAGCCCGTTTTCGCAAATGCCAAATAAACTCCTCTTGCTTATTGCAGCTGCTGGCTTGGAGTCTTGGTTCTTGGGGTGCCCTCCCGTTGAAGAAAGCATCCCAGGGGGTCTGGGGTCTTTCACAGGTATGGCGGCTACGGCCGCCGTCGCCGCCTCCAGTGCTGCAGTGGCGGCTGCTGGCAAGGGCTCAGATCTGTCTCCTTGCCTGGATTTTCCCTCTGTGGCCTAACTCTCTGTACTGTGATGGCACACTTGGTATGATTCTCTGGTTTAGGACTGTTCACTGGAACTCTAAAACTGCTTTCTATGTGAGAGCTTGTTTAGTCTCCAGCTTCTCCTCTGCCATCTTCCTGGAACTTCTCTCAGGGCACTTTATTTATTTTCTGAGGACCTTGTGAATGGCTGTTTTCCTGATTACTTTCTCACTAGGGTACTGGTAGAAGAGATGGAGCTGATTTTTAATGCTGATTTTCTGTGTTGCTGAAAATTACTTCTCATATCCAAAGGCTTTGGTTGGGATCTTGTGGTCTTCCAATAGTGCAATATATTCAGCATGGAAGGTATTTTAAGAGCCTCATTACTTTGTTGTCCCTTGCTTGGCATGTAGGCAGATGAGAGAATACTGTTGCTGTGAATAGCAACTTGAAAAGACTGAGTAAAATGAAATTGAGGCAGTCAGTGGGTTGTTCTATGTCTTTATACTCAGAAGGCATATAAAGGATTAATGTGGTATATCTGTTTTTAATGTATGGAGGAAGCATTATACTGTCTCCATAGTGAGTAGTCTGATCTGTGTGATTTCTACTGTTCCTGAGGAACCACTGTTCTATCTCCATAGTGAGTGGTCTAATCTGTGTGATCTCTACTGTACATGAGGAAGCCCTGTACTGTCTCCATAGTGAGTGGTCGGATCTGCCCTCTTCTTGGACTACAAGTGATGGAGTCAGAGGTCCAGCTCCTAAGAGACTCTTCAGTGTCTTTATGCTGAGAGCTGTTAAGAGAGCAATGTTTACTAAACAAATTAGTGCCTGCTGCAATCAATTTCTCTCCATTTCAGGACTTGTCAACATAATGATGAAAATATTCTGCAGAAGAGCAAAATTCCCTTTTCTACCTTTCTCAGCTCTAAATCACAACCTCCACCACAGGCTGTTTGCAGCTAGTGCTGCTGTCTGGTGAGCAGGAACAGCTTCTCCCTCAGAGTTTCTGACACCTTCTGGATGTGGTTTCCTCACCGTGTCTTGCACAGTAGTACACAGCCGTGTCCTCGGCCTTCAGGCTGCTGATCTGCAGATGAGCTGTGTTGACAGAGGTCTCCAGGGAGAAGACAAATCGTCCTTTGAAGCCCTCAGCGTAGGTTGGATTTCCAGTGTTAGTGTTGATCCACCCCATCCACTGCAGGCCACCTCTTGGCTCCTGCCTCACCCAATTAATACCGTAGCTAGTGAAGGTGTATCCGGAAGCCTTGCAGGAGACCTTCACGGCTTCTCCTGGCTTCTTCAGCTCAGGCCCAGACTGCACCAGCTGCACCTGGGAGTAGGTACCTGTGGAGGAAACACTGGAGTTAGGGCCGGGAGCTCCTCAGAGTCCTCGGCAGCCCTGGCCTGGGGTCCTCACCTGGGGCAACCGCCAGCAGGAGAAGGAGCCTCCACATCCACTCCATGCTGTGGGGATGTGGACCGAGTGGCTCTGGAGACTGGAGGGTGAGGCCTGTGTGTATGTGTCAGAGGAGCCTGGCCTTTCTACTCTGTGGGCCTCAGAGATTTGCATATGGCCCTGCCCTTAAGCACCTGCTGGGCTAATCTACCCCATGGACATCCTGACTCCTTAGACCCAGGCACAGATCCCACCCCAGCGGAAGTGCAAATGGCCTCTCTGGTGGGTGGAAGATCGCAGTGTTCTCATGAGTTCCCTCTGTCCTGCCTGATGTCAGATCTATGAACTGGGATTGTGGGACCCAGTGAGCCCAGAACCACCACCACCCAGGACCCACAGCCCCCCTCGTCCACGGATGGCTTTCCACAAGTCATGAGTGGAGGAGGTGAGAGCAGGAGGGGTACATGATGACATCATCTCCTTCTTGAGAAGATCCACCATTTCCTGATGGCCAGGAGTGTCCACTATAGTTTCAAATGAATCTGTGCTGTCTAGTAAGGACAGCGTCCTGAGAAGCATGCTGAGCTTCCTTCAGTTTCACCAGCAGCATTTAATCCAGGGTGTGTGGTACCTCCTCTTCCTCCTTCCTCTGTGTCACTTGTGTGTGACCCGAGGGCCTCCATGTTGGAACTGACGGCACATGCAGAGAGCAGAGGCTGGTCACAGGTGCTGGGAGACAGTGAGGGAGAAAGCTGTGTCTCCTTTTCAGAGACCAGAACTCCAAACCTGAGCTTCTCCTGAGCTCCTGGTCAAGGTCCTGTGTCCTCAGAATGAAGTTGACCCCAAAAGAAGAAAAGCAAGCTGTGGGAATACATCCTGTTTTCCTGGACTAATTGAACAGAGGAGCTACTTTTCACCAGGCAGTATGTCTGCCCTTGAGCCATGCTTGGGACTCTGGTTATTAATGTTTACTAGTGAGTAGTGATCACATACAAGGTTTGTCACAATATCTTCATATATTCCTGCAGTTTGCCTTCATCACAGTCACCTTATCTACCCGTCTTCTCTTTTCCCCCATTAATGGTTCCATGATTCTATTTTAATTCATGGATATAATGCACTTGTTGTCCATTTCTTTCTCTGTGGACAATTCTGGGTTGTCCCCGGGGCCTGAGTTGCTGTCCTTGACCTTTGGTGCTCACGTCTGGTGCTCTATCCCTTGAGCAGCAGCTTCCTCTCTGGTTTTGGGTGAGTCGTGTGAGCTGGGATTCTCGTCAATTGCTTCCCAAGCTGGATTGGAACTTCACTGCTCAGATCACAGGCTCCCCACAGCTGGGGTCACAAGATCCTCTATCCCTGGCTCCTCTCTGAGCCAATGTTAACAGACACACATTTCACTGGCACAGGACACACCCAGGTCACCTGAGCATGCAGAGCAAGCGCCGCCCAGCTCAGCATGTCCCCGGCGCCCCCTGCTGGTGGCCAGCGTTCCTGCAGGTGTCTGAAGCCCACATCCTCCCCAGGTGGACCGCAGAGCTCTGTGGTGTGGAGTATGGGGCTCTGCTGTCTGTCTCAGGTGTACATGTGGCTGTGAAGGTGACTTCGATGTCACTGTGTCTCCTGTCCAGTGCAGCCCCTCCTCATGAGTCAGTGAAGCTGATGCCAGAGGCACCGCTGGTCCTGATGCAGCTGGAGGCCAGCAGTGAGCAACGGGACCTCAAGGGTTCACAGGCTGATCCTGACTCTGACCACACCTGGACAGCACACAGGGGCAAGGAGAAACACGTCTGTCCGCACCTGCAGCCACAATCCCTCCGAGTCCCACAAGTGCACCTGTGCAGCTCCACTGGCACAGAGTGCCCAGCGGTATGATCTCCTGACCGCGGTCACAGGCCAGTGTGACCTTGAGGTCAGAGGTCAGCACAGTCCCACAAGGACTGCTGGGACCTGCGTCTCCTCAAAGCACACAGAGCACAATTCTGGGCTGGGGCAGTGTTCCACCCACAAGACACCCATGGGGCATTCCGTAGATCACAATGCCCCAGCCTGAAGACATCATCTTTCCAAATATACCCTTTTTTTTTTTTATTTTGGGGGGGTCCGGTCCTGGGGCCTGAACTCTGGGCCTGGGCGCTGTCCCTCAGCTCTTCAGCTCAAGGCGAGTGCTCTACCACTTGAGCCACAGCCCCATTTCTGGCCTTTTTTTTATCTGCTTATGTGGTGCTGAGGAATCAAACCCAGGGCCTCATGTATGCAATGCAAAGCACTCTACCACTGAGCCACCTTCCCAGCCCTCCAAATATATTCTTAAGAAAAATTATTTCAATGCAGGAGATTCTCTTTTGTAACATAAAATAGAATAAACCATTTATCCTTTGACTCCAGTTAGACCAGGCTTTTTATTTTCAGGAAATATTGTGGTTTACACCCTTGGGCGGGTCACTTCACAGATAAAGGTTTGTTTGGTTCGCTGGGCAAGAGGGAGAGGAAAGGCGTTCACCTTGAAGGTCTTCTCTGCTTCACAGCTGAGGGAAGTCAAATATTTGGAATATCTCTGCAGGTCTCTGCAGGTGCTGTGGGCTGCCCGGCACTGCCAGGCCATTTGGAGCTTCTCCTCTGGGAAATGTAACTCAGTTCTCTCAGGCATGTTGATAAGCCCTTACCTTGTATTGGAGAGCTCTCTTCAATTCATGACTCTGAGTTCTCATCATTTCTCATCTTTAGGAAATGGAAGAAAGATGTTAGGCTACTTTGAGTCGAGGCATATGAAAATGTGTATTTAATACAAGCAGAAATTGTGTACCACTTGTCCAGTATAGAACTGACACAGGGGATGCAAAGTTCTCCAGAATACATTCTAAGAATGATGGCATTTTAACTATTGGACATCATTCTTATTTTTCCTAAGAAGGAATTCCACCTGGTCCCACACAACCCAGTCACTTTGGAGACTTGGGAGTTCACGTGACAGGAAATCATGGAGGTTCTCAAGTGCAGCAAGTTTCCATGACCATCATTTTCACCCATTTTCCTAACCCAGCAGAACACAGGACCATGACAAGACTGTGAGATGGCAGTGCGTGGCTGTTGCTCCATTCATGACCTGAGTAAGTCACAGGAGTGTGTGTGGTCTTGGTACACCCATGTAACACCATTTACTGAAATTCAGTTATGACCCCAGATAAGGTCACCAGGACTGTAGGAGGACACGGTACATCCATAGGTCCATGTACTCTACTCCATGTATGACCCTACAGCAGGTCCAAGTTCTGGGGAAGTCTGTGCATGGGTAGGCCTGGGAACCTGCGTAATTCTCTGATCTAGCCTCAGCATTTTGTCATGAACACCACCTGGTCTGTACATTCTGCTAAATAAAAATGGCACCGATTTTGTGGGTATTTCACAGGAATTATACTTAGACTTAATGTGTGATCAATGTTCCATTTTGTAGCAGAATAGGTTCTCTATAAGCAGAAATATTACAATGAGGATGAACCTGAAGTTAAACAAATATGGTTTGTGAATTATTTTGGTACTGCAATTGCACAGAGGTTATTCTCTTTATGTGACTGTATAAGGAAGAAAAGTGGTCCTGTGTGACGTGAATGTATAAGGGAAGAAAAGAGGTCCATTGTGAAGTGAATGTGTAAGAGGAAGGTAAGACGTCCCATGTGAAGTGAATGTGTAAGGGAAGAGAAGACATCCCGTGTGAAGTGAACATGAAAGAAGAGGGGAAGAGGTCCTGGGTGAATATTCCCTGTGGAGTAGGTGTTTGATGAGCCCGTAGTTCCTTGTCTGGCTTACACGTTCACAGGACACAAATGAGAGGAAACAGACTTTCAGGTTCTAGACATATTCCCAGCTGATAGTGCAGGGAATATAAAAACTCCCCTCATATTCTGTTGGGAGCTGACAGTAAAGCTGTAAGGTCATCTTGACCCCTGTGCTCACTTTAAGGCACGTACAAGGAACTGGCTTACTTAAAAAACACCAGGTGCCCAGGATTGCTTTGCTATGTCTGCAGAGTTTGTTTTACTTTCTACCAGTTGACCTTGTCTTGTTTTACTGCACTCTGTTTTTACTGAAATTTTCCTTGTTTTTCTGGACTACTGTAACCTTATGTTACCTCTTGACTTCTAATAGTATATATTTGGAAAAGTTAAAAATAAACGGTGCTGCAGTCTTGAGCTGCAGACCTCCCGACCCCATCCTTTGTCTTATGTCCTTATTTTTCCATCCTCGCCCCATAATTCAGGACACCCTTTCGTTGCCGGCAGGCTCCGGCAATATTCCAGTGATAAGAGGGGTAGATAAATCTCTGCATTAGTGTACATAACTGTGCATTGCAGATTTGCATATGAAAATGTGCATAGGGAAACTACATAAAAGCAAATTAGATTTGTATATGTATATAAATGTGTGAAGTTATACATAGGGTACACATTAGAGCAACATATACACACATATATAACACACATGGAATAAATGAAGTCTACATATATACACATGTGTGCATATCTACACAGAGTTGTATACCTATGTATATCTAGAACAAAAAAAATGATCATCTTGATGCAGAAAAAGCTCTTGACAAACTCCAGCATCCTTTTATGCTGAAAGCTCTATAGTAGGGGATCAGTTGACTGAAAAACGTGTTCACATGACTATTAGCTGGGAGTTTTGCCCTGGCTTTATTCACTGGGAACCCCTTGCTGTCTGTGTTTTCTGAGAATGGGACGGGTAGAACCTTTCCCACATTCAGCATGGGCTCAGGTCTGCAGCCCTTTGCTCAGAATCATCTCTGTGTTCTAAGCAGCGCTCAGGGAATCAGCCTTCTCCTCACAGCCCGAGGCAGCTGCCTTGCCTCAGGTTTCTGACACACTCAGGATGTGGGTGTGCACACTGTGCCTCGCACAGTAGTACATGGCCGAGTCTTCTGCTGTCAGCCTGCTCAGCCCCAGGGATGCTGTGCTGGAGGAGGTGTCTGCTGTCAGGGAGACCTTGCCCTGGACCTTCTGAGTGTATTTGGTCTCACCATCACTAGGATCGATCCTTCATCCACTCAAGCCACTGTCCTGCCTTCTGCCTCACCCAGTGCATATAATAGCTGGTGAAGGTTTATCCAGAGGCCCTGCAGGCCAGCCTGACCGAGTCTCCAGGCCTCCTCACTTCAGCCCCAGGCTGCTCCAGCTGGACCTGGGAGTGGACACCTGCAGAGGAGAGGGAGGCTGAGAATCCCATCCAACCTCGTCATCTACAGCTTGTGTAGAAAGGTATGGATGCAGAGGAGCTGGTGGGGGTCACTGGGACTCTGCAGGTAAACACAGCTCAGCGGTGCCCACGACTGGGCTCTGTGGGTCACAGAGCAGCTCCCGGACCTGACCGATGGCCCCTCACATGTCACCAGCAAGAGGAAAGGGGACAAAGGGATCAAAGCCGGGCTGGATGCTGGGCTGTGTGAATAGAACGGTGGGCCTTGAAATCCATCAGCGACATGGAGGCCCTGGCTCTGCACAACATCCCGTGCACTCCGACCTGAGGATAAAGACTGACCTAGCCAGGGAGTCCACTGCGTCTCTCCCGAGTCTGAGAGGAAAGGACTGAGCAGGGATCTTGACCTTCCTCAGATTAGACCCCAGTGATCTCAGCTGTGTCCACCGACTGTGCATGGTGCTGTGTCTGATACTCTCAAGGATGCATCATCATCCACAACAGAACCACCACAATGGAAGACAGAACAAGCTGTGTGCTGAGGGGCTGGAGAAGAGTAAGGAGAGCACAGTAGACAGCTCTGTGTGGGACGCTGTGTCCTGTGGAGAGGCCAGGCCCATAGAGGAGTCAGAACCAGAGTGCTCCACAGATGCTCCTGTGACTGCCATGATCTCAGTGTGAGCCGAGCGCCCCCTGCTGGTGCTGACTGAGCATGACCTCAGTGTGTGCCCAGCGCCCCCTGCTGGTGCTGAGCGCCCTGCAGGGAGGTTTGTGTCTGGCCCACACTGGATTTCCTGCACTGTGTCTCTAGCACAGTAATAGACGGCCGTGTCCTCCACTCTCAGGCTGTTCATCTGCAGGTAAAGTGTGCTCTTGCTGTTGTCTTTGGAGTGGTGAAGCGGCCCTTCACAGAGTCTGCATACTTTATGTCACTACTACTTCCACTGATGTATGAGAGCCACTCAAGCCTCCTCCCTGGAGCCTGGTGGAACCAGCTCATGTAGTTACTACTGAAGTCGAATCCGGAGGCTGCACAGGAGAGTCTCAGGGACCCCCCAGGCTGCACCAAACCTCCCCCAGACTCCACCAGCTGCACCTCACACTGCACACCTGCAAACACAGAGAAACCTGGTCAAAATGTTTACACACGTCCCCTGTCCCTCCCACTACTGTGCATTTGCACACTCAGTGTGCCTTGTCCCAATACATCACCTTTCAGCAGAACAAGGAGAACCCAGCACCGCCGCAGTTCCATGATGAGTGCTCTGTGTCAGCCTGAGCCCTGAATGGTTCACCTGGAATCCAGGGCTGACGTCTCTCCACACCTTCAGGGTCAGGGCTGGCTGATTTTAATGGGTAGAGGAAGGCCCTATTTGCATGTCTTCTGCTACATAGTGAGAGCCGGGGTGGAGGTGTCAGGGAGGGCAGTGCTGAGGCAGATGTGAGAGTCCTGAGGGGCATTGCTACAAAGATGGCCTCCCAGAACACACGGCATCCCATTGCTGCCACCTGCTGGTTATCCACGTATTCGTCCCACGTTGATCTGAATATTACAGTCACCTCCCTGCACAGACGGGAAAGTACACACAGGTTCCACACAGCCGTGTGCTCTGGGGAGGTACTGATGTTTTCTTCAGCTCGAGGCCTTCGGCCTGCCATGCAGGTGCTCTAGCACTGGGCAGACTTCCAGACCTTCTTTGTACTAGTGCCATTTTGAGAAGGGTCTGATTATTTTGGTCATATTCTCACCTGGAGCTCCATTTTCCTAAGTGAAGTTTCCATCATGGCTGGGATTATAGGCACATGTCAGCACACTGAGCGTCTTTCTCTGAGATGGAGTCTCATGAACTGCTTGGCCTGGCTGTGCTGCTCTGGTGATCTCCTCAATCTTAGTCTGCAGGAGTCCAGCTGACACACACACACCACACTCAGCTATTGGTTGAAAAGTGTTTCCTGAATGGTCTTGCTAGGGTAGATCTCCACCTTCAAGTACCCTGCACTGTGTCTCCAGACAGCTCTGCTTATCGGCCTGGACCATGGGTACCTGTCCTGAGCACTGTAAGCACAGCAGTCCCCTTCCTGTCTGTGTCCTGTCCAGTACTGTTCAGGGCATTTGCAAGAGCATCCAGGGCCTGTGAGACACTGGCTTGGCAGAGAACAGTGAGGCTGAACCTCTGGAGGTCTGGAAATAGAGGCACCTGGAAAAAGGCCCTCAGGGCTGGGCTGGGGAGGGCCAGTGTGTGGTCTTCACACGTGTCTGTGTCTCAGTGATCTGCAGTGCTTTACACTACTGGGTTGTGAATTTGAGGACGTCTGCGTTATGTTTTCTCTTCTTGGTCTCATGTGTACATTCCCATCATCAGTGTTGGACAGCTGCATGCACAATTCACCTGAAACTTTTGTTTTCCTGGTTCCATCATGTTTGCCTGACCAGTCCCTGAGCTCTGGACATTCAGTGAATTCTAGTTGTGAGTGTGCTGACACACTTCCATTAGTGAACAATTCTGTGTTCAGGATCAGCCAGAACTATCTTTTATCATGACAGATACAAGCCTGCAGGCTGCATTTTTTGTGCCTGTCCTGGGTTGGAGCCCAGGGCCTGCACCCAGCCCACGAACTGCTTCTGAAGGCTAACATTGTACCACTTGAGCCACAGCTTCACTACTGCTGTCTTGGATCATTAGATTTAGCAGCATAGACTTGCCCACACAGGCTGGCTTCCCACATGAGCTTCAGATGTCAGACCCTGGAATAGCTAGGGTCAGAGGATCCACTTTTCTTTTCAAAGCAGAGCCCAGGATCTGTTCATGAACATTTGGCAAGGAAGCTGAGATGTGAACTTAGAGAAGAAACAGGAAACCACCCGAGACCCGGAGGGGAAGAGGAAAGCCCAGAGGCTGCCAAGAAAGAGCAGGTCCTGCACCTTCTTGATGCCACAGTTCCTGGTGTGTTCCAAAAGAATGGTGCTCATCTGTGAGCTCTGCAGATCCTCCTTCCTGACCCGAGATCAGGTGTGGCTTTGCTGCACTTTACTTCATTCTGACCACAAATCAAGACAGCCAGGGTTCAGGCAGATTCCTGACAGTGGGCTCTGGTGTATCATTTGTTAGTCAATCTTTCTTATTGGTTTTTCTGCTTCATATGAATTGTGTATTTGTGACAATTCCACATGTACTGTATATTGTCATCATCTCAATGTCAGTACATGTAACAGATTTCTCATAGGTAAACATTGATTTGGTAACTGATAAATTATTTTCATGTTCTTCAAGTTGTTTTACCAACCTGTGTGTCCTGGCTCCCACTGGCTCCTCTCACTGTGCCTTGCACAGTAATACAGGACCGAGTCCTCGGTTCTCAGGCTGCTCATTTGCAGGTACAGCGTGCTTTTACTGTTGTCTCTGGAGATGGTGAACCGGCCCTTCACAGAGTCTGGGTACCGTGTGCTACCACCTCCTGGATCAATTCATGCAACCCACTACAGCCTATTCCCTGGACCCTGGCGGATCCAGTCCATGTAGTAACCACTGAAGGTGAATCCGGAGGCTGCACAGGAGAGTCTCAGGGACCCCCCAGGCTGCACCAAGCCTCCCCCAGACTCCACCAGCCGCACCTCACACTGCACACCTGCAAACACAGAGAATCCTGGTCATCAATGGTCACACACATCCACGGTTCCTCCCACTCATGTGCATTTGCACACTCAGTATCCCTTGCTCCCCATGAATCACCTTTCAACAGAGCAACAAGGAGAACCCAGCGCAGCCCCAGCTCCATGGTGCTGGTCTGTGATCAGTCACTGGTGGAATCAGCTCACAGAGCTCAGGTCAGGGATGGGCTGGTTTTCATGGGCAGAGGGACGTCCTATTGCATGTACTCTGCTATAAAGCAGCTCTGGGGGGAAGTCTAGAGATTGGGCTCCCAGAGCAGAGGTGACTGTGCTGGAGAAGTTTGGTGACAATGGTCACCTTGGAGACATCATGATGCACTGAGCATTTGCTGTGGTTCACACTGTACCTGCAGCTCCTTGGGAGCCTGAGGCAGAGTGTGAGAACACTGAGAGCTGTCTGGGGTGCAGAGGGACACACATGTCCTCTCACTCTGCCATTGTGCCTGGTGATCGTTCTGTCAGCATTTCTGATCACACACAAAACACAAAGTGCAACATGCGTGTGACCTCCATGTGCACATGCAAGAGTGTAAAACAATGGTGAATTGTTTCCACACTGGCAGCATCTACCGTGGTATGAGCTCCATGCCTGGTCTGGGTCTGCACAGCCAAGGAGGTCCCACAGTTCCTGCTGTGTTCCAGGAGAATGGTGCTCATGTGTGAGCTCACAGAGCCTCCTTCCTGAGATGAGATCAGGTGTGGTTTTGCCATGCTTTACTTCATTCTGACCACAAACCAAGATGGCCAGGGTTCAGGCATACACTTGACAGTGGGCTCTGGTGTATCACTTGTCACAGTCTAGCTTTATTGTTTATCCTGTTTATATGCATTTATTTGTAACAATATCATCTGTGTTGTCCATCTCAATAATAATAATAATCTCAATAAGTCACAACCAATAACAATGTGCTCATAGGTAAATGGGTATTTGGTAATTATGGAAAATGTCTTGTGTCTTCTTCAAATTGTTTTATCAACCCTTTGACAGTGTCCTTGAATCAGTCTTTCAATTCATTGGTTACAGTGATTTCTAGTGCTGGACAAGATGGTGAGCTAAATGTGAACAACACTTTTGTCCATGAACAAGAATCCACTGACACAAAGCTGAGCAGATTCTGAGGAAGAGAGGAAAGGAGAAGCGACAGGGAGTTCCTGGGGACCCAGGACATGGCAGAGAAGCAGTCAGGGTGGAGAAACTGTGGCACTGAGCTCTGACCTGTGTGCAGCTCTCCTGCTGGGGAAGAGAGCTGAGCTGTCAGCAGGTACCATCAGGTGTGCTCACAGAGGGACTGCCAGCTCCGCCGTGGGACACATGGGCTGAGGACCCGTTAACTAGCAAAAACCCTGAAATTAAAGAAACGAAAGGAAATCACCAACCCTTGTGTTGGGGGTCTGGATCAGTTGTTAGGCGGTTCGTCAATGAGAGAAAGCATCAGGTTCTGACTTTCAGTCCTAGTCATGGATCCAAAAGAGAAAAGGAAATTGAGGCCCGACTCAAATGGTAGAGAACCAGCCTTGAGTGAGAAAGCAGAGGGAGAGGGCAAGGTCCCTGTTTGTGCAAATATGCACAATAAAAATGCGTATAACACATGAGAGATACCGAGTGTTGGGGGCCAAGCTGGGTCATGTAAGGCAGGCAGGCTGACAGTGAGAATGTAAATGAGAACGTGACTGGAAGTTATACCACGGTCCATGAGCACACAAACACTAGAAATGCTGTAGATTCCAAACTCCAGTAATGTCCAGTGGCACATTTCCTTCTTATCTTCAGTTGCTGTGGCATTGTTTACATCACAAGCCAGGAGATTAACCCAGGTGTCCATGAGACAAGGAATGGAGAAAGGAAATGTGGTATCTCTGCAAAACAGGAGATTGTTCATCCATGGAAGGGAGGAAGTCCTGGCGTTTGTGACAACATAGATGATTCTGGGGAGTTCACGTGAAGTGTGGTAATGCAGCTCAGAAAGACAAAGGAGGGCTTTTGACACCTGTGTGGTCTATATTTGTGAAAACGTGTAAGTCAGCAGACTGCAAGCTTCCTCACTGTCAAAGAATGGAACCTGTGGGTGCTGTACGATCCTTAGCTCTGCGTTGACAAGAGTTCCACAGCATTTGTGTGCATTGTCACGTTGCACTCTAAGTCTGAATGTGCATCATTTTAATTGTCAATGTTATGTCAAGGAAGTAGACATAATTACAAAGCTTTCTGACCTTGAGAATTTTTAGCAAAGTGCTGAGGACACCAAACGTCACCATCGCAGCAGGAGCAGCGGCACTGTCGCCGTCCTTCCCTCCTCCCCAGAACCCGAAGCTCTCGGGGGCTCGGTCATCTGGAGCATGTGGGCTGAGCCCTCTCCTGAGCAGGGCCTAGACACCAGCAGCCCCTCCACAAGGTGAGCCTTAACTTTCCCGATGCTCTTCCTGATCTGTTATTTGAACTGACACTAAACAGAGTGGGCAGCCTGTCAGGTGTACTGCATGTATCTGTTGTATTCTGTTTAGATCCTGTTAAACACAGTTATGTCCTCAAGCATTTATCAATTCTTAATGGTGTTTTGTCTGTGTTCTGGAATGTTCAGTCTAGAGTATTTATTTATGTCCACACATGTTGCAATATGCGGAGCCTGGGGACTGGACAGTAAGGGACACAGGTCTGGAATCAGGTCTGGGGTGCCTGGGGCCTGAAGCCTTCCACCAGCTTTAGGTATCCTGGGGCCATTTTACAAGGTATTTACTAAGTAGGGTGCAGGGTGGACCTCAGAGAGTGAGGTCACAATGTCCTTAAAGTCACAAGCACCAATTAAATGGTCTAATCACACACCAGTGATAATGACCTCTTTATCTTAAGAAGCCAAAGTAAGCAGTAATTGAGTCTTCTCTAGCCCAAGGTGCCAGAAAGCCTGGTGTGAAATTAGCCTACACCAGCATAGAAATCTGCATTCCCATCAAGTCAGGACTGAGTGACCTTTTCAGGAAAGTCTCAGTGCTCTGAGGGTTCATGTGGGAGGTGGCAATGCATCCTCCCTATCCTTTTGGGTCTCAGAGCTTGTGTTTTGGGGGCTCTCACGACATAGCAATGGCATTATATGCCCTTAATATCGAAATTCCATTCCTGTGTGCAATCCTTCAGTAGCAGATACACAGTGGAAAGACCCACACAATCCAATCTTCACATCAGCCGATATGGTGGAAGGATGACACTGATAATGCCTGGAACTGTCAAAGTACGGAGCAGTGGGTTTGCTGGTGCGTCCAAAAGCTCAATGGACGTCTGCCTACCAGCCCGGAAATTAAAACCCAGAAATGAACAGACAATCACCCAACGCCCAGGAGGCTGTGGAGGGATCTTCAGGAGGATGAGGAAATCGATAGGCTCAGGGAGAACAGGGAGAACCAGGTTGACACCGATCCACCCTGGGGCAAATAAGGAAGCTTTCTCTAGAAGCTGGAGGAGCTTATAGGAGAATGGAGAGGAAATCAACAGGAAGTATCTGTACCAATGGTGGTGGTATTCACACTGCTGGTGTCTGTGTGGGGACTCCTATGCTGGGTAAACTGTTGTATGGAAATGTGGTGTGGTATGTAACAACTCAGCGTTGAGCTGGAGGAAGGCTTTGCCATCCTGGAGGCCAAAATCTGAGTTCCACAGATTGGTGTCTTTACTGTGGTGTCTGTGGTCACCAGGGCTGCGGCACACACGGGCACCTGGACCCCAGGCCAGCAGAGCACTGCCCCCCTCCTGCTCCACACACACTCAGCAGGTACCTGGAGGGTGCTGTCTCCTGGTGAGGAGAAGGGTGTGTGTACTGTCCAAATGATTCCACAGGATGAAACGTTCACAAGTGTGAGACGCCTTTCCTAAGCCATGGAGTTCAGACAAAAATCCTTCCTCAAGAAATGAGCCTTGTTCCTTTGGGTAATGGTGTGGTGAGGGAACAGGGCGAGATTTGTCTTTGTCTCAGGGAGGGTAGTATGAAAGGAGGGTGAGGAGCAGCACCACAGGGGCCAAGACACGGGGCAGATGCCTCAGGAGGCAGCTCTGCTCAGCACAAGATTCAGGGTGAGCAGCAGTGCCCGGACATGCACAGCGCCAGGACTCACGGACACCTCCCCTCAGTCCTGGACATGCACAACGCCAGGACTCACAGACACCTGCCCTCGGTGCTGGACATGCACAATGCCAGGACTCACAGACACCTGCCATTGGTCCTGAGCATCACAGCACAACCAGGCAGCCCATGATTCCATTTCCCCAGAGACGCGGATGGTGGAGGTGAAATCATGTGGATGGAGTGGACAAGGCTGAGCTCTCCATCCCCGTCCCAGGACCACTGTTCAGCCTCCCTCCAGACCCGACGTCCACCTCCATTCCCACAGGAGGCCTGCTGAGAGGCAGCAGGAGAGGGCTGATGCACACAGGCTGAGACGTAGCACCGGCACGTTCCCCAGGTCTGCAGAAGCCCCGGCCTGAGCAACACCTGACCCCAGCTCCCCACCTGACCTGGGGTTCAGTCCACACACTTACAACCTCCATTTCTAGCTGACCAGGGAAAAGAAGACACAAAGAGGAGAGTCTCTGAGCAGGAACATGTGTCCACTGACACTACCCCATTGTCCAGTCGTGAGCTGGATGTGCACAGGCGGGAATGGGAGAAAGGGAAGGTTTGCTAGCTCCAGGGGTGGTCATCTGGCTTCTCCTCACAGGATTTGGAAGTACTGGGTTAGAACTCAGGCCTGTGCTCATTGGGCCGTCGTGCTGTGATTGGGCCATGCCTCTCATTTTGCTGTCAGCTGTCATTCGGGCAGAGCCTTGGTGTTGACTGAGGCTGGGCTCGGAGCTCAAACGCTGTGTCCATAGCTCTGGTGTAGCTGGGGGCCCTGCGGGCCTGGGCCGTCACCCCCAGCTCCTTGACTGAGATTCAGCTGGCTAGTGTTTTCCCTGGCTGGATTTGAACCATGATCCTCCAGTCCCCACTTCCCACACAGCCTGGATTGCAGGGAGGACCTGTGCGTAGCCATGTACATCACGTTTTCAACGGGAATTTCAGGGCCTCCTCAGCAGGGAATCCCAGAGTGTCTCCCCAGGTCTGATGGGAAAGTGATCGTCAGGTCCCCTGGCCTTCCTCAGGTCCTGGAGACCACGGCTGGGTCATTGCCGTTTCCAGGGCAATGCCCTGGTCTCATTGATTTTGGGAATGTGCTTTATTCTTTGAAGATCATAACAGCATGATCAAATTGTGAACTCAGAGATGCCATGGAGTGGCAGCCTCCCAGATCCAGGAAGGATCCCTGGCAATCGACTGGACAGACACAGCCAGATGGTGAAACCAGCCCTGGGCTGCAGGCTGTGTTCTGGATGGACTCTGGGCTCAGGTGTGCTGGGCGTCCTTGAGGGTCCCTTGTGTCCCTGTGGCAGGCTTGTGTCAGGGCTCACACCCGGTCTCCTCAGTGTGTCCTACACAGTAGTGCAAGGCCTTGTGCTCCGTGGTCACGGAGCTCAGCTGCAGGGAGCACTGGTCCTTGGAGGTGTGCACTGTCATGGTGACTCTGCTCTGGAGGCTCGGGCTATACACGGTGCTCCCACGTTTATAGATGTGTCCAGTCCCCTCCAGCATTTTCCCTGAGTCCTGTTGGGTCCAGCTCCGCAGTCACTATGCTGACAGAGTCACCAGAGACCACACAGGAGAGAGACGGCGTCTGCACGGGCCTCAGCAGGCCAGCACCTGACTCCTTGGGTGGATTTGTGTTTTTCATCTCTAGCCTTCCTCAGATCTGATCTTGGAGATCATGGCAAAGTCAGTTTCCCCAATGTGTTATTCTCTGTGCTTTGTTGAAGTGAAGTCTCCCTATGTTTAAGTAAACCTCACAGTGGAAAGCAGAACATCTGATCCAGACAGTCAAGGATGACCACAGACACAGACATGGAGAAGTGCCTGGGAGACTGTGCTCATGACGGAGCCACAGGGACCCAGCCTCCATGCCAGACGGGACATCCACAGGACTCCTGAGCCATCATGATGTAGGAAACCCCAGGACAGACGGGGCCCAGCAAGGTCAGTCTACATGCACATGGCCTGTTGTCTGTGTAGTCCAACCCAGACTCCTCGTGTCCACTTCCATGTCCCCTGGAGGACAGCAAGAGGCCCTGGTCAGGGGAGACTGGGGAGTCCAACAACATTTCCCAGGGTGCCATGGGCTGAGCTCCAGGGGTATGACTGACCCCTGTGTTTTATGACTTGGGTCCCCAAGTACATTTGGTGGTTGGACAAATAGAAAAGGAGGCTGAGAGTATGAGTGTCACTGAGGGAGAAAATGAATTAATGGAAGAATCTGAAGCCCCATGCCCAGTGCTACAGGTGAGGGAGGAAGGCAGGGTTTGGGGCCTGTTAAGATTCCTGAGTCAGTGAGCTGAGCTGTCTCTGTCTCTGTTTCCATCTCTGTCTCTGTCTCTCCTATTTTGAACTCAGGGCCTCTTTTGTTAGGCACACACCTCCCACGTTAGCCCTTCCTGCAGTTTTTCTGATTTTATCAATTATCTGGTACTGGCTGTGGTTTTGCCTGGGGCAGGTTCCAGACAGTGATTCCACACTTGCCTCCTGTGTAGCTGGAATCACAGGAAACAGCTGCCACACTCAGCTTATTGATTGAGATGAGGTGCTCAAAATCATTTCGCTCTTCTCCTCCCAGGTCTCTAGGATTACAGGCATGAGTAACTGTGCCAGGTGTTTTCCCTCTTGTTCACAGAACAAATTGCAACTCTGTGAATCCTGGGATCTTTGTCCTGAGTCTCATGGGGTCACCAGGGTCTCTGAGTTTCTTCAGGATCAAATACTGGTCACTACTGCAGCGCCATTTTTGCTTCCACCGTGATACTTTGTTCATTCTTAAAGTCCCAGCAAAGGACTGGAGACATCACAGAGGAGTGCGGGTCATAAACTCAGGAGAGATGCTGTCACACTGTGGGCACAGAGGCAGGGCAGACAGCAGGAGAGCAGCCCTGGGCTCTGTGTGCAGCTGCTCCTGAGCTGACCTGGCTCCAAGCTGTGCCCAGCGCCCCCTGCTGGTGCTGAGCGCCCTGCAGGGAGGTTTGTGTCTGGCCCACACTGGATTTCCTGCACTGTGTCTCTAGCACAGTAATAGACGGCCGAGTCCTCCACTCTCAGGCTGTTCATCTGCAGGTAAAGTGTGTTCTTGCTGTTGTCTCTGGAGATGGTGAAGCGGCCCTTCACGGAGTCTGCGTAGTGTATCCTACTACTATCATAGATGGAAGAAACCCACTCCAGCCCCTTCCCTGGAGCCTGGCGAAGCCAGTTCATCCAATATCCACTGATGGAGAAACCGGAGGCTGCACAGGTGAGTCTCAGGGACCCCCCAGGCTGCACCAAGCCTCCCCCAGACTCCACCAGCTGCACTTCACACTGCACACCTGCAAACACAGAGAATCCTGGTCAGCAATGGTCACACACATCCACGGTTCCTCCCACTCATGTCCATTTGCACACTCAGTATCCCTTGCTCCCCATGAATCACCTTTCAACAGAGCAACAAGGAGAACCCAGCGCAGCCCCAGCTCCATGGTGCTGGTCTGTGCTCAGTCACTGGTGGAATCAGCTCACAGAGCTCAGGTCAGGGATGGGCTGGTTTTCATGGGCAGAGGGACGGCCTATTTGCATGTCCTCTGCTATAAAGGAGCTCTGGGGGGAAGTCTAGAGATTGGGCTCCCAGAGCAGAGGTGACTGTGCTGGAGAAATTTGGTGACAATGGTCACCTTGGAGTCATCATGATGCACTGACCACGCACTCTGGTTCACACTGTACCTGCAGCTCCTTGGGAGCCTGAGGCAGAGTGTGAGAACACTGAGATCTGTCTGGGGTGCAGAGGGATACACATGTCCTCTCACTCTGCCATTGTGCCTGGTGATCGTTCTGTCAGCATTTCTGATCACACACAAAATATAAAGTGCAACATACGTGTGACCTCCTTGTGCACATGCAAGAGTGTAAAACAATGGTGAATTGTTTCCACACTGGCAGCGTCTCATGTGGTATGAGCTCCATGCCTGGTCTGGACCTGCACAGCCAAGGAGGGCCCACAGTTCCTGCTGTGTTCCAGGAGAATGGTGCTCATGTGTGAGCTCTGCAGAGCCTCCTTCCTGACCTGAGATTAGGTGTGGCTTTGCTGCATTTTACTTCATTCTGACCACCAACCAGGAAGGCCATAGTCCAGGTAGAGGCTTGCTAGTGGTCTCTGGTGTATCATTTGTTATAATCTATTTTTCTCATTCATATGTATTGTGTATTTGCAACCAAATCATGTGTATTGTGTACTTGTAATAACCTCAGTGAGTCACACACAGAACAAAACATAGGTAAATGAGTATTTGGTAAGTATTAACAAGTGACTTGTGTCTTCTTCAAATTGTTTTATAAACCTTTTGACAGTTTCCTTGCATCTGTCTTTCAATTCATTGGTTACAGTGATTCCTAGTGCTGGACAAGATGGTGAGCTGAAGGTGAACAACACGTTTGTCCATGAACAAGAATCCACTGACACAAAGCTGAGCAGATTCTGAGGAAGAGAGGAAAGGAGAAGCGACAGGGAGTTCCTGGGGACCCAGGACATGGCAGAGAAGCAGTCAGGGTGGAGAAACTGTGGCATTGAGCTCTGACCTGTGTGTAGGTCTCCTGCTGGGGAAGAGAGCTGAGCAGTCAGCAGGTACCATCAGGTGTGCTCACAGAGGGACTGGCAGCTCTGCTGTGGGACACATGGCTGAGGACCCATTAACTAGCAAAAACCCTGAAATGAAGGAAATGAAAAGAAATCACCAACCCTTGTATAGGAGGCGTGGCTCAGTTGTTAGGCTGTTAGTCAATGAGAGAACACATCAAGTTCTGACTTTGAGTCCTAGTCATGGATCCAAAAGGAAAAGGAAATTGAGGCCTGACTCAAATGGCAGAGAACCAGCCTTGAGTTTGAAAGCAGAGGGAGAGTGCAAGGTCTCTGTTTGTGCAAAAGTGCACAATAAAAATGCATATAAAACATGAGAGATACCGAGTGTTGGGGGCCAAGCTGGGTCATGTAAAGCAGGCAGGCTTACAGTGAGAATGTAAATGAGAACGTGACTGGAAGTTATACCACGGTCCATGAGCACACAAACACTAGAAATGCTGTAGATTCCATACTCCAGTAATGTCCAGTGGCACATTTGTTTCTTATCTTCAGTTGCTGTGGCATTATTTACTTCAGCAAGCCAGGAGATTAACCCAGGTGTCCATGAGAGAAGGAATTGTGAAAGGAAATGTGGTGTCTTTGCAAAACAGGAGATTGTTCATCCATGGAAGGGAGGAAGTCCTGGCGTTTGTGACAACATAGATGACTCTGGGGCGTTCACGTGAAGTGTGGTAATGCAGCTCAGAAAGACAAAGGAGGGCTTTTGACACCTGTGTGGTCTGTATTTGTGAAAACGTGTAAGTCAGCAGACTGCAAGCTTCCTCACTGTCAAAGAATGGAACCTGTGCGCGGTGTACGATCCTTAGCTCTGCGTTGACAACGGTTCCACAGCATTTGTGTGCATTGTCACGTTGCACTCTTAAGTGTGGCTGTGCATTGTTTTAATGGTCCATGTTACGTCAAGGAAATAGAAATAATTACAAAGCTTTCTGACCTTGAGAACTTTTAGGAAAGTGGTGAGGACACCAAACGTCACCATCTCAGCAGGAGCAGCGGCACTGTTGCCTTCCCTCACTCCTTCCCAGAACCCGACACTCACAGGGGCTCGGTCATCTGGAGCATGTGGGCTGAGCCCTCTCCTGAGCAGGGCCTAGACACCAGCAGCCCCTCCACAAGGTGAGCCTTAACTTTCCCAATGCTCTTCCTGATCTGTTATTTGAACTGACACTAAACAGAGTGGGCAGCCTGTCAGGTGTACTGCATGTATCTGTTGTATACTGTTTAGATGCTGTTAAACACAGTTATGTCCTCAAGCATTTATCAATTCTTAATTGTGTTTTGTCTGGGTTCTGGAATGTTCAGTCTAGAGTATTTATTTATGTCCACACATATTGCAATATGCAGTGCCTGGGGACTGGACAGTAAGGGACACAGGTCTGGAATCAGGTTTCGGGTGCCTGGGGCCTGAAGCCTTCCACCAGCTTCAGGTGCCCTGGGGCCATTTTACAAGGTATTTACTGAGTAGGGTGCAGGGCGTATCTCAAAGTGTGAGGTCACAATGTCCTTAAAGTCACAAGCACCAACCAAGTGGTATAATCACACTCCAGTGATGATGACCTCTTTATCCTAAGAGGACAATGTAATCAGTAATTGAGTCTTCTCTAGCCCAAGCTGCCAGAAAGCCTGGTGTGAAATTAGCCGACACCAGCACAGAAATCTGCATTCCCATCAAGTCAGGACCTGAGTGACCTTTTCAGGAAAGTCTCAGTGCTCTGAGGGTTCATGTGGGAGGTGGCAATGCATCCTCCCTATCCTTTTGGGTCTCAGAGCTTGAGTTTTGAGAACTCTCAAGACATAGCAATGGCATTATATGCCCTTAATATTGAAATTCCATTTCTGTGTGCAATACTTCAGTTGCAGATACACATGGGAAAGACCCACGCAATGCAATCTTCATGTCAGCCGATATGGCAGAAGGATGACACTGATAATGCCTGGAAGCCTGGAACTGTCAAAGTACAGGGTGGTGGGTTTGCTGGTGCAGCCAAAGGCTCAGTGGACGTCTGCCTACCACCCAGAAATTAAAACCCAGAAATGAACAGACAATCACCCAACATCCAGGAGTCTGTGGAGAGATCTTCAGGAGGATAGGAAATCTATGGGCTCAGGGAGAACAGGGAGAACCAGATTGCCACCCATTCACCCTGGGGCAAATGAAATTTTCTCAAGAATTTGAGAAGCTTATAGGAGAATGGAGAGGAAATCAACAGGAAGTATCTGTACCCATGGTGGTGGTATTCACACTGCTAGTGTCTGTGTGGGGACTCCTATGCTGGGTAAACTGTTATTTGTTAATGTGTTCTGATATGTAACAACTCAGCGTTGAGCTGGAGGAAGGCTTTGCCATCCTGGAGGCCAAAATCTGAGTTCCACAGCTTGGTGTCTTTACTGTGGTGTCTGCGTTCACCACAGCTGCGGCACACACGGGCACCAGGACCCCAGGCCAGCAGAGCACTGCCCCTATCCTGCCCCACACACACTCAGCAGGTACCTGGAGGGTGCTGTCTCCTGGTGAGGAGAAGGGTTTGTGTACTGTCCAAATGATTCCACAGGATGAAACCTTCACAGGTGAAAGACTCCTTTCCTAAGCCCATGGAGTTCAGACAAAAATTCTTCCTCAAGATATGAGCCTTGTTCCTTCCTGGTAATGGTGTGGTGAGGGAACAGGGTGAGATTTGTCTTTGTCTCAGGGAGGGGAGTGTGAGAGGAGGGTGAGTAGCAGCACCACAGGGGCCAGGACCTGGGACAAAGGCCTGGGGAGGCTGCTCTTCTCAGCACAAGATTCAGGGTGAGCAGCAGTGCCCGGACAGTGCACAATGCCAGGACTCACGGACACCTGCCCTCGGTCCTGGACATGCACAACGCCAGGACTCACGGACACCTGCCCTCGGTCCTGGACATGCACAACGCCAGGACTCACGGACACCTGCCCTCGGTCCTGGACATGCACAACGCCAGGACTCACGGACACCTGCCCCCAGTCCTGGACATGCACAACGCCAGGACTCACGGACACCTGCCCTTGGTCCTGGACAGTGCACAATTCCAGGACTCACGGACACCTGCCCTCGGTCCTGGACATGCACAATTCCAGGACTCACAGACACCTGCCCTTGGTCCTGAGCCCCACAGCACAAACAGGCTGCCCATGTGTCCGTTTGCCCAGAGCCGCGGACGGTGGAGGTGAAATCATGTGTTCAGAGTGGACAACGCTGAGCTCTGCATCCAGGTCTCACGACTCCTGGTCAGCCTCCCTCTAGACCCGACGTCCACCTCCATTCCCACAGGAGGCCTGCTGAGAGGCAGCAGGAGAGGGCTGATGCACGCAGGCTGAGACGTGGCACCGGTATGTTCCCCAGGTCTGCAGAAGCCCTGGCCTGAGCAACACCTGACCCCAGGTCCCCACCTGACCTGGGGTTCAGTCCACACACTTACAACCTCCATTTCTGGCTGAACAGAGAAAAGAAGACACATGGAACAGAGTCTCTGGGCAGGAAAATTAGTCCACTGACACTACCCCATTGGTCAGTTGTGAGCTGGATGTGCACAGGCGGGAATGGGAGAAAGGGAAGGTTTGCTAGCTCCAGGGGTGGTGGTCTGGCTTCTCCTCACAGGATTTGGAAGTACTAGGTTAGAACTCAGGCCTGTGCTCGTTGGGCCATCATGCTGTGACTGGCCATGCCTCTCATTTTGCTGTCAGCTGTTATTTGGGCAGAGCCTTGGTGTTGACTGAGGCTGGGCTCGGAGCTCAAACGCTGTGTCCATAGCTCTGATGTAGCTGGGGGCCCTGTGTTCCTGGGCCGTCACCCCAACCCCTTGACTGAGATTCAGCTGGCTAGTGTTTTCCCTGGCTGGATTTGAACCATGATCCTCCAGTCCCCACTTCCCACACAGCCTGGATTGCAGGGAGGA